GAAGTTCCAGTCGTGTCTGATAACTGAATATGCCGGAGTTTGTTTTTGGATGAGAGCATTTTCTTTTCTTGATTTTTTTTTTGTTCTTGAAACCCTCCCAAACAACATGTGGTGTGTAGGTGCTGTTTGATTTATTTATTTTTTTAAGGTTTTCTGACCCCGAGACTCAACTATTTTTTGCAATTCTCCAGCTGTGGTCCTTGAAGAGTCTTTAGCCTCTCAAACTCTCCTCCTCACCGTGCATTAGGACGATATAGACACATGTCATCTTCCAGGCAGATTTGTAACATTTTCTGTTGATTGGAAATTCTTAATTATTGCCCTGATGGTAGAAATGGGAATTTTCACTGCTCTAGCTCTTTTCTTATAGTCACTTTCTAATTTGTGAAGCTCAATTATCTTTTGCTGCACATCAGAAATATATTCTTTGGTTTTTCTCATTGTGATGGATGATGTAATGAAATTAACTCATTTGTGAGTCGCTAATTCTAGAAGGGAATTAATCATTAATTTTATTTCTAGCTCAGGTTTTGAAAGGACTCGAATCTGAAAATTCTGTGTCAAGCTGATTAAAACTGAATTAAAATCTGATAGTTTACACTTTAAATCAAGCGTCGTCCAGCGAGCCGGTGATTCTTAGTATATTTTAACAACTTGAATCTTTGTATTTCCCTGGCCACGGTCAATACAATTATTATAAGTAAGCTATTATAGTAATTAGTATAAGTAAGCTACGAGCTAGGTAACAAGGGATCTTTTGGCAAAAGTTTTAACCTTAAAATTATATGACACCAAACAATGGTTCTTTATAAATGAAACATGAATTTTATTGGCTATTTTAGATTACATCAAAACTAAGCTAAAACACACATACACACAAACATACAGTTTCTTTAGAATGAGAGTTGACGGAGTTGCATGAAGTTTCAAAGTTCTAACTCGTTTTCACGAGTGATTTAAATTCACCTGAGAGAATTCACCAAGCAGAGAATTTTAGCTTATGTTTACTGCTTAAATTAGCTTGTTTACCAGTTCAGCAGAGATAAGATTTTGTTCGTTTACTTGCGTTCTGCTGGGTTGACAGCTGAAAAGCTGAGGTGATTTCCCGTTACTGACGAAGGCTTCCTGGATGGCTGCTGAAGGAACCCCGGAGCTTTCGGATTGGTCGCTGAGGTGACGTTTGGATGACGTCCTTTTGGGAGACCCCTCGTTGGATTGGTTGGTCTCTTGATGACGCCAGAAGCTTGAGCAGTTTTGCTACAGTCTGAGTTTGCAAGACTCAGAGTCCTCTGAAGATCCCGAAGTTTCACTGAAGTGTTTGAGTTTTAGATGACCGATCGCTTTGATGGTAAGCGTGTGAGCACAAGTTGGATTCCTCTTAACACGGCGACAGGCGAAAGCAAACAAGCAAATCTGTTCTGCATTGGGTTTTTGATCCGCTGCATAAGTCCGTCCCACGACGCGACCTTCCAATCGACTTGTTGCAAGGCGGAGCGTGCCTACATTACATAATGCTACATTACCTACAGCTCTTCACTTATTTCAATATTCTGCAATTATCACAAGTTTACGTTAAACACTAAACTTCACATATTACACACTGTAAATGGATCTGCCATCCTTCTGCTGGACAGGGAGCTCTAAAATTGTCTCTTTTGTTGATCGGATTTAGCAATTTATGTGTTAAATGGTCAGGGGTATCACGCATCTGGTCCTTGAAAGCCCGTAAAACAAAGATAGTTTTGTGTCCTAGTTTGAGTTAGGGTTTAAGCACTGTTTTTTTTTTTATTTGAGTCTCTTGAGATGATACGCTAGATAGTACAGGAACTGCTTCAACACTTCACTGACCCTGCATGAGTTTTACGACCGCAGCTGGCTGCATAGGGCTCCTCAGTTTGTCTCAATGGAATGTGATTGTTTCATGTGTGACTCAATAGTGTAAGTGGGTCCGTTGTAAGACAGAGATCCTACAATGATTAAGGGAATTTGGCCTTTGTTTTCCCTCTTATTTATATTCCTGTGAAACAGGAAGCCATGGCTAGATAATTTCATGTTCATAATCACCCTGGTATGCTCAAAATTGTAAATATGAATGGGAATATACTTCACAGATATTTTACTCATAAGAATTTCTAGGGGTGCCAATAATTGTGTCCAACGTGTATTTGAGAAAAACATTTATTTCATAATGAGATTTTCCCCCATTTTCAATTGTTTTAGTTCAATGAAAGGTTAGATATTTGTGATTTAAAAAAAAATTAAAGATCAAAATGATTAACAATGCAGATTTATTTTCACAGCCTTCTTTGATCATATTTACCAAGGGTGCCAATAATTCTGACCACGACTGTATACATGTATACAAATGTAAATATTTGTATTATATTTTTACAGTAAATATAATTATATGTGTGTGTATTTATATATACATAATAAATCTACACAGTAAACATATTATATAAGCAAAAACTTTTATTTTGAATGCTATTAATCACGATTAATTGTTTGACAGCACTAATAAAAACACACCTTTCACAGGACCCATATGGAGCTAGTTATGTGATCCAAACGTCAAAATGTTTTAGTTACTTGTTATATAAATCCTGACAGTAAGCAACTTATATGAAGCCCCCATTAATTCTCTCTGAGAGAAAAAAGAAGGCATCAGATCATTTTGTTTTTCTCACTCTCTTCCTGATAACATCTCAGAAATATCCATAACAAAGGAAGTTTGTTCTATCAGTGAGAGAATTCAATGCAAATAGGAGTATGGGGGAGTAGGGTCGGGAGGGGGCATCTGTCGTCATCCTCAGCAGGAACAATACGCCAAGCAACACTTCTTTTTAATCATCGCTATCAAAGCCAGCAAGCTGGCAGTAAAAGCCAAGTGTGCTCCAGCTCCGGGGCAGAGTAAGAGAGTGTTTGAGGATAACACGAAGACCCACCACTAGCCCATGGGGATAGGAGGTGATTATTCAAGCAGCCAATTAGACGCCTGTCTGCATGTTTGTTACAACTCACAACTGTTTAAACCCCTGAGAGGCCAAGGTAAACAGAGATGGAGAGCAGGAGTGGAGAGACTGGGGACTCCAGGTTCTCCGTCTTTTCCTTCCTTGTGCCACAGGAATACAGTTGTTTACTTACACTTCAAGGGTGAAAACTATATATTTGCATGGCAATTAAATGGCGAAAGTCACAGCTCTTTTTTGCATGTCACTAAAACTAAAACGTTCTGAACTGGTTTTACTTCAGGACCCTTATTATGGCAATCCAACAGTACTAAAAGCAAGCAGAAATTTCCTAAAGGACAAATATTGATAATAATAATAATTTGTTTTATTTTGTTTTTATTATTATTATTATTATTATTACAAATAATAAATGTTAATTGTTGTCGTTGTGCATATAAATAATTTTAAAAAATGTACATTTGATATAATATTGTATAATAATATTTCCATTAACTACATTGCCTGCTGTGCAATAATGTAGTTTTATTAAAAAGTATTTACTCCCTTTTTCAAAAATGAAGTCTATTTATTTTAAATAACTATTGATTTAACTATGGCTGATTGTATGAATAATAACTGGTTGTTTTCCCTGCTTCCCCAGTTAAGAATCACGTCTTTTTTTAGCATTATTAAAAAAAAAGAAATGTTAAAAAGGAAGAAAAGAAAACATGAAATTGACTCTTAAATGTGACTCTTTATCTTAATAAATGTCCCTGAACTATTTATTTATTTATTTATTTATTTTTACTATTTATCTTAATAAATGTCCCTGATCTTACTGTGCACAACTCATCAGTTTTAATTAAATGCAGTAACTTAACTGCAGTCTTTTACAGACTTTCTTTTGTGATGTTTCTTCCTTTTTTGTACCCGTTTGCAAAGGAAAGTAAAATGAACCAGTTTTATCCTACATTATTTTCCACTTAATATTGTTTCACTTGGAAAAATGACACTTTATTGAAGTTAAGTTGTTTTATGTTGTCTTTTTAAATAATGATTCGATTTAACTTTAGCTCTAGCAACAGCATCTGTGACATGCTGTCAGTTAGCACAGATCATTTCAGCATTAATGCACGTATAATGGAAATATATGAGGCAGTCCAGATGTTCAGCAAGCTCAGCACCTTAAATTTTCAAGGCATCTTTCCATTTTTGGGGGGTGTATAACTTAAAACGTAAAACACAAAAGCATGAAATAGATTTCCAGTTTTCACTAAATGTGTCTTCATTATTCTTTTATGCTCTCTGTCAAAGATATTTCTTATTCCGGTCATGAGTCTAGGCAATTACTTTTTTAAATATTTAATTTAGTCAGCATAGCACAGACAGAGTGAAATTGTGTGAGTGCACGTTTCATGTTGTTTGAAACTTTTTTTTGATGGAATACATTATTAATATTTTGAAATGGATAAATAATTCTGCCTGGAATTGTTGATGTGGTGGCTCATCGGTTTTGGCGTGCGTGTTTATGTGGGACAAATGTGTGTCATTGTCTCGGAGGAGCTCAAAGCAATCAGTGCTGTTGACTTGCAGTGCAGCTCTGCATTCTGACGAGCTGAAAAGTGTCTCTAGAAAGTGGACAACCAGTTCACATCCAGTGGACACCATGGCTTGTTTTGGGTAAATAATAACAGAAAGTAACTTTAAGAGCATCATATCCAAGCATTTTGGTGGATAGATGGATCCATATGTTTATTTGATCCATCAGTTGATACTTTGTCCATCAAAATCATATAAAGAAAGAAAAGAGTATAGTTTACTGTAATGTGACTTATTTATCTTCTCCTTCTCATAAGTTGTGTCTCCAGTATCTCTTTGGGTTCCTTAACCACACTGTTCTCCAGATATAAGATCAAACTGGACTCGGATGAAATCCAGTATGGAGGTCATGGCAGACTGGACCACAACACTGAGTTCTTCACTGAACCAATGGAATTCAACAACCTGCCCAACTCTATATTGGTAAACAAACTATACTATCTGTTACCATAAACATATAGCAACATGCAACATTCATATGCCAACAGAGTCTGTTTTTCTTTGTCTGTGCTGGAAAATATGCGAGGATATTTGTTTAATGGAGCTCAGAGTGCTATTAGAGCACATTGAAAACAATACCACTTAAATTTCTCAATACCAATTTTAATACCACAGCAAAAACTATTATGGTATTAAACTCACACTTTAATTATATTCATATAAATATATACAAATTAAATTAAAGTAATAGAACGTAGCCTTTAAAATTGCCCAAGTAATTAAAAACGAGTAAACAACTTCTCATTTAATTAGGTGTTCAGTAATCAAATAAAGATTCAAGAATCACATTACAAGAACTGGATCAAGTTAATACAACAGAACAAAGATGCAAACGAAGTAAACAGTGGTGTCCAGGTATCTAACAGCAGTACTGTATCAGGTGTTCAAGTAAACATTCACAGAAATTAAATGTAAAACAACCCTACCTAAATAATTGACGTATTCTCCACTACATGATTCGTAGATCAAATAAATTAATATTGATGCTGTTGGAGTTTGACTAAAAAGCAAGTCTATAATTAAAATATGTACAGTTTCTTCTTTTCTTCTTAATACAGTTGTTTGATTAATATTAATGACATAATAGACATTTACACTAGTGGTTCTTAACTAGAAGCCAGGGGCCTCGGCAAAGATCTAAGGTGGCCTTAAGATGACTTTAAATTATTTAAAATAAGCCAAAACAGCTAAACATCAAGATAGTTCTTATTATAAATCAACCCACAACATCTATCATGAAAAACCTGGATATATGAGATTTTTAAAGGAATAGTTCACCCAAAAAAAGAAAATTTGCTGAAAATGTACTTATCCTCTGTCCTAGATGTAAAGAGTTTTTTTTCTTCAAACACTCTTAAAAATAAAGGTGCTTCAAAAGGTTCTTCAAGCGATGCCATAGAAGAACCATTTTTGGTTCCACAAAGAACCATTCAGTCAAAGGTTCTTTAAAGAACCATCTCTTGCTTACCTTTTTGTAATCTGAAGAACCTTCTTTCGCCACAAAGAACCTTTTGTGAAACAGAAGGGTTCTTCAGATGTTAAAGGTTCTTTATGGAACCATTTAGACAAAAAGGTTCTTCTATGGCATCGTGAAGCACCTTTATTTTTAAGAGTGTAAGAACAGATTTAGAGAAATGTAACATTAAATCTGTAGCTCACGAATGGATCCTCTGCAGAGAATGGGTGCCGTCAGAATGAGAATCCCAAACAGCTGATAAAAACATCACAATAATAAAGTAATCCAAATGGCTCCAGACCCTCATTTAACATCTTGTGAAACAAAAAGCTGCATGTTAGTAAGATCAAATTCATTATTAAGACATTTTAACTTTAAACAATCCCTTCTGGTAAAAAACAAACAAGTCCATAATCTATAACAACACTTCCTTTAGTGAAAAAGTCCAATCCCTTTTGTCTTCAATCATCAAAATCCACCAGCATATTTGTTTTGTTTTATATCCGTTTTGGACTGTTTCCATTTGTAAACAGTGCATATTTCTCTCCTGATTCAGACGAGATGACTTTTCCACGGGAGAAAGCAATAGCTGAAAGCAACAATTTTAATGATGGATTTGTTTCTTACAAACATGAAGCTTTTCGCTTCACACGGTGTTAATTGATGGACTGGAGATGTGTGGATTACTTGTTCATTATTGTGATGTTTTTATCAGCTGTTTGGACTCTCATTCTGACGGCACCCATTCACTGCTTGAAGATCCCATTGAAGTAATGCTAAATTTCTCCCAATCTGTTCCGATGAACAAAAATAAACTCATATACATCTTAGATGGTCTGAGGGGGTAATACATTTAATCAATTTTTAATTTTGGGGGTGAATCATTCCTTTAAGTGTGATTTCTAAACCTGGAAAGCTTTGTGACAACAGTGCCATCCTGAGACAAATGTTCTCCTTTGTATTGTTTTAATTTCCTGCATTAGCATACAAAATGCCTTCTCTGTTTGAAAACTGAAAGAGCTTTCATTGAAGCTCAAGGCAAGACTTTGTGATTGAACTGGAGCAATGTACAACATTTTAAACCATGCATTACTCAAGTAATGCATGTACACATTCGAAACCATGCAGTCGCTATTGGGCTCCTTTTATGCATTAGGCTCTTTATCAGAGCAGTAATAAACGGGAGTCAAGTGCAACACTATCTATAGTAGTCATAGTTCAATTAATCTAGCGAGTCACGTGTCTCCATCAGATAAGTTCTTCTATCTCTTGGGTTCCAGCTGTCATATTGTGTATTCTCTTTCCATAGGCCTTATTGAAATTAAATGCATAGCGTGAAATTCAAAACCCCCATTTCAGGCCGTAGATCGTGATGCAAGTCTTCATTCCTCCCTCGCTTCCGAACACTCCCCTATTTTTCTCATATTTTCTTTGTCGTCCCCCTCATCTCCTTACCTAAGGGCCTGCTGACGATTTAATAAGATCCATAAAAATTCAAAAGCAAACTTTCCGTTTTGCTGACTTGTCCTGTTGTCAACATAATTTAGTAATTGTTAAGCAGAGCGTGTGGACCAATCTTGAGCTTGTAGGTAAAAGGTGGCAAAATAAAGATTTGCATAACTGACGTTTGTTTTCTTAGGTTTGCTTAGTTGCATGACTGCTTGGGACCAAATTAATAGACTGAATTCATGAATACAATATATCCACACTCATGTTGTTGACTTTCTTCTGTGGAGCACAAACGAAGATATTTTGAAGAATGTTCATGCTGCTTTTTCCCTACAAAGAATACAAAGTTCATATAGACACAGAAAATTGTAGAGGTACTTACACACTAGGAATGGGGTTTTTATTCAATTTTTTATTCAAAATTGTTCCCTGATTTGTTGAGTGACTCTTACTGCAGGTTATATCGGTCAGTAGGTCATAATTTACTTTTCATATGTTAATAGCAGGGTTATTAGCTAAAACCATAAAACCTTTAACTAAAAAACATAAACTCTTTTTTTTTTTTTTTAGCTAGTTGCCAGAGAAACATTTCTCAATTTAATTTAGTTTAACTAACAATACTAAAATACTAAATACTAAAACTGAAATAAAATGTGTAAAATTATAGTTTGTTATTAGCAGGGTTATTAATTAAAACCATAAAACTTTAACTAAAAAAATATATATATTTTTAAATCTTGTTTTAGCTAGTTGCCGCAGAGAAACAATTCTCATTTTCATTTTCATTACAGAAATTAAAAATAACTCAAATTCAAACTGAAATGAAATGTGTAAAATTATCTAAACATTAAAAATAATAAAAAACACAAAATTGCAAAAATGTACAAATACTTAAAAATGACTAAAAACAAATATACTAAAACTTTAGAAATCTAATTCATGATATTAGTCAAAACTATAATGGTATCTCAATGATACTAAAATAACACTGGTAATGAGTGAGTCATTGAATCATTTACTCTACTGTTTCATTAACTGAGTCAACTGAATCAAGTCTCATTATTAATTGTCTATAGATTTACTAAAAATGTTCGAACACAAACAACAGGTCTTGTGCTGGTCCAAGTCTCATTCAATTTCTAAACACTGACTCATTGAGTGAAAGGGTGGGTTCGTTCAATAGGTCCAACCAATGAAATGCTCCTGCACAAGCCACATGTGAATCTTAAATTACTTATGCTCACAGTCATCATGTTCTAACTGATACAGTAGCAGGTGCTCCGATACTGTAACAGGCATCTATTAAAGCTGCATTATTTATGAACTGTATTATTTTCATACTATTAAACTTGCAGAACTTACTCTAGAAGACCTCAGGGGTTGAAGAGATCTCAAGGCCTTTGACAGAAAAGAGCAGCGAAACTGAGCTAAATGCATAATTCAGAAACATTGACTTTGTGATGGTTTAATTTTTTTATGCATTGATATATATAGTGTCAAGGATACAGTAAGTGCTGGAGCTTTACTTATTAGTGCTGCTTACTTCATGCAGAACATATAGTTGTGTTAAAGTATTGTATTGAGATTTAGTCTTCTCACTGCATATGAATGTGATTGCTAACTAGTAGACAGGTTTATGTTGTGGTTCTGAAGTTGAATTGACATGACCCGCACTCTGTGAAATTGATAGTGATATATAAGTCTGAATTTATATTGATCAATTTAATGCACATCCAAATCTCTCCAAAGAATCAGCATTTCATGGTCTTAAACGGCAAGATACAGCAAGAATAGCATATATATATATATATATACACACACACACATACAACAAAAACAAGTAAAAGAATATAGAGAGTGCAAGTGATAGAGGGTCAAGTGTTTTTTTTTATTCAAAAAAGAAAACAGATGAAATGGAATTAGAATAGAGAGTGCTAGAGTTAGAGGGTCAAATAAAGTAATAATAATATTTATTAACATTATTAATAATAATATGTATATATATATATATATATATATATATATATATATATATATATATATATATATTATACACATTTAAAAATACTTTCCAGTGTTGTAACAAAAACTATTAAAAAATTAAATATAAAAAAATTTAAAATGTTACATGAAACGCATACAAAAACTTTAAGGAACTTAAATGAACATGTTGTGCTGGCAACAAACTGAAATTTAGTTTAACTTGAAGTACTAAAACTCTAAATAAACAATTAAATAAATAAATAAAATGTCAAAAACCCATAACAAAATTGCCATAACTTATACTAAAATTAAAATGACATTTTATTCAAAATATAACTAAATACTATAATAGTATATAAATAAATAAATATCACTAATGCTTAAGATGTAGTGCTTTTAAAGTGGCTGAAACAATTTGAGTTTTAATGTTTAATCCCTATCTTAAATTCATCTTTAAATTAATCCTCTCTACAAACACATGCTACAGTTATCAAAGCAGCGTTTGGACAATTTCACTGCCTTCAATAATATATAT